TAGCAGTTCAAAAGCATGTAAAAAATGCAAGTAGAAAAAATAGGAACCACCTTTGATGGGAAGGTAACAGTGTTCTGTGCACCTTTGGCATTGAGTAATGCCGGCCACATGACCACGGAGACGTCTTCGGACAGCGCTGGCTCTTCGGTTTTGAAACGGAGATGAGCACCTCCCCCTAGAGTCAGGAACAACTAGCACATATGTGCGAGAGGAACCTTTACCTTTACCTTATCCTCTCTCTTAGCATTAAGTGATTCTTTAAGCATCCAGTCTCCATTTCAACAAAAATCCTCCTATATTTGTCTTGTAGGAAAGAAGAACAGGAAGAACATTTTGCCTCCCCTTTGAAAAGCGTAGAATTAAATCCAGATGAAAAAGCTACTTTAGAAGAAGTTATGGCAGACGATCAGAGCCTTCAAAATGAAAACAGAAGAAGAGCGAGACATGATTTACAAGAATCCAGTTCTGAATGTAGAATAGATGGCTTGGATGCTGCTGTGTTACCAGCAGGAATCAAAATGGAATCCATTCTTGAAGCAGAGTTAAGACCAATCTCGGATTCCAGTGAAAATACTCTGTCGTGCAATAACAGTGAGTTGAAGCTTCAGATGGAAGCAACTGCGTATCATGAAATAACGGAGCCAGAATTCACAGAAACACAACATGAAGATGGAGATCTAAATTCTGGCAGGTCAATACAACCCAAAATGTTAAACTTTGTGGGAGACTGGCCAGTAGAACAAACTTTGGGCCAAAGGGTGAAAAGAATTAAAAGATTAGAAAAACGGGCCAGGAAGGACAAAGGAGATTTAAGTACGCCGATATCTACTCTTGATTCATTCAAAAATACAAATGAAGATAAAGCATCCGATTGGATAGACAGCCATCAGGACCTGCCACTTTCTGAAGACAGGGGTGAAGACAAATGTGAAGAGAGCAACTGTAACTTTCCTTCTACGTCGGTGCCTGAGGTTAATGCAGAAGTCCATACCACAGAATTGCTGATGGTAGGAGACTGGCCAGTCCAAACTTTACAGCAAAGACAACACAAAATGAAAAGAAAAACCAAGCGAGACATTAGCGAGTCAGGTGGATTAGGAAATAGTCAGGATGACGTCAGCATGGGTGATGGGACCGCGACGTCTCAGCTGAACGAAACGTCTGCAGATGTGGAAGAGCAGGGGGCCTCTTCAAAGGAGGAACGCATTCCAGGATTTGAGATCACAGCTTCTGAACCTCTTGGTGAGAAAAAGCCAGTGCCGAATAAAAGAACGCGTAAGCATCATAAATTGGCTTTAACATTTACCAACAATTCGGCCCTCCACAAACCAGGGGAGCCACCGTGCACTTGGGCTGAAGAAAAACCCAACCCGTGGGTTGTGTCCCAGGCTACCAAATCTTCGCAGACGGAACCACGAGATTTCGCCCTCCTGTGGAGGCTGGAGAGAGAGATTGTCTTTTCGGAAGATACCAAAGTCTTACACGGCAGACTCGACGGATTTGTACCCAAGAGGGTTGACGCGGTCCCGGATTGTCCAGACAAAATACCCTACAAGGTAACCTACGAGAGAAGCACCTACGTAGAAGAAAGGGAGCTGGTGAGGGTCGATGAATCCGAGAACCTCAATATTTTGTGTAAGCTCTTTGGGTCTCTTTCGTTCGATGCCATCAAAGATCTGTATGAACGATGTAACCGAGATATGGACTGGGCTACGGGACTCCTGTTAGACTCTGCCGAGAAGCTCTGCAAAGAAGACGACGGCGGAGCCCTGCAGGAAACAGGGGTTCGGCTCCCGGATGTGTCTCTTCCTTCGAAGAGGCACGCTGCGCATGAAGACAGATTTGCGGGTTCTGTGGCAGTTCCTCAACCGACTGCGGTTTCTAGGATTATTCACCAATCCGAAATAGCCAAAGTCCCCCTTGGTGATGACAGTGAAAATGTTTCTGGGCATCCTACAGGACACGGCATACATTTTTCTTCAGGAGAAAACGGAGGTCCTTTGAACGGGCAAACAGAACAGGGAATTTTTAGGGGGCTATCAGAGAATGAGCCGCAAAGGACGTCTTTGGTTAATGAAATGGACGTCGCCGTTCCTGATGAAGTTGACGGCCCTTTGAAAGCCACCTGTGATGGGGAAGAAGATCAGCTTGGAGCAAACTTCCAGGAGGCTCCGTTTCCAGAAGAGATCTTGGATTTGAAGCTAATGGAAGCGACGGATTCGAGCGTTGCAGAAAGCCACACATTTGAACCATGCAGAAAAATGGATTGTAAGCCCGGCATTGTGGTTCCGACACAAAGGGAGAAGAACAGCCCCGATCAAGACAATGGGGCAATCCAGTTGCAGGACTCCGTATCTCACTCCAAGTCCGTGACCATAGATTGTCTCGAACTGGTCTTGGCTCCGGAATTCGCCATGCAGTTAAGTGAAATATTTGGACCAGTTGGAGTTGATGCAGGTAATAACATCACTGACTATTTTACTTAAATAAAATAGTGAGTTGATTCTGAACAGGGAACTGATGATTGTATATACTGTGTTTCCCTGAAAATAAGACAGGATCTTATTTTCTTTTGACCCCCAAAATAAGCGCTTGGCCTTATTTTCGGGGAGGTCTTATTTTTGAGGTGCAGGAGGTGGCGAGCGTAGTCACCTCATGGCTGCTGCCATTTTGCAATATTTTCGGAGAGGGCTTATTTTTTGGGGAAGCCTTATTTTAGCGCATAAGCCCGATTAAGCTTATTATCCAGAGGGGTCTTATTTTCAGAGGAAACAGGGTACCTAACAGACCTTAAGATTTAAAAGAACTGAACAGGTTAAATAATATAGGTTGGTATAGATTAGGCAATAATATATAAGTATCCCAAGCGTTTATTTTGAATTAAGCCACTTTGGGTCATTGTTCATGATTCATAATTTATTTTTGGCCTGCTACATAGGCTTGACTTTTGTTGTTCTGTGGCTAGCTAGCTGCTAATTTATGGGGAGACTGTAGTAAATCATTTTACTATAACTAATTATTCAGTTGTAGTAAAAGCTTTAATGTTATTTTATCTTATAATGGCAAAATCTGTCCCAAATACGGGCCAAGAATCTAGTGTGTGTGGGTGATCTAATGTTACCTGAATATTTGTGACTTCATCACCTTAATTAATATTTCTATATAACCTGGCAAGTGATTTGAAAAACAAGTAAATATGAATTTGGTCTTGGCTGACTGGCTGGGGAATTCTGGGAGTTGAAGTCCACAGATCTTAAAAGTTATCCAGATTATAACATTTCCATGCTTGCATATTACTTAGATGGCCCATTTTTTAAATAAAAAAAAAANATCGATTCCTAAATCTCACTTTCCCTGGGACTGGTCGGGTGGGGTGGGAAGGAATTTACAGCCTCCCCCCCCCCCCCCGGAAAGCGACGCGAGCCGCTTTGCTACAGAGGCTTCTACAGCTTTAAGAAGAGATACATTTTCTAGCTTGTGTCGCAGCAACTTTGTATCAGTCATGTCGCCTGCCGGGTGACTGACAAAAGGGCTCGTCCAATGGAAATTCGCTACGGACTCCGATAGCGAGGCTCCGCTTTTCTCGTCGGCCAATAGAAGAGAGAGAGAGGAGGAACCTCATCTGAACTTTATCTGAGCACGTGACATGTTTTTAAAAGGACTTGGCACCTTAGCGGTGTGTCCCCCCCCCCCCTTTGCCTTTCCCTCTGCCCTGCACGGTGTCGGTGGACCAGGCAAATTTGAAATTAAGAATCCGTTATGAAGAATAAATTGGGCCTCGTTCCCTTTTCAGTTCCGAGCTTGGCTATTTTTGTTCGTGGATGTGGACTTTAGGTGGATGACACTTGGAGGAAAGAGGTGAGAGATAGCAATCGGGAGGCAGAGGGCAGATATATTTCTAGCGTACTGGGGAAATTATTTCTGATTGTTGAAATTGTAGCCAGGGGTTGATCTGCAAGCCAAACAAATCGTCTCAAGGTTAAGGAGTTGGAAAATTAAGAGAGGATGGCTTGAGATATTTATACCTGTCTCAGAACTGGGCAATTTTTTTTTTTGCATCAGGTGATTTTCCAAGACTGTCTAATTTTAACTCCCGGCAGTTATTCTGCAGATTCCCCTACTATGAGATCCTCAGGAGAAAAGTATCTCCCACATTTTTAAAAAGTTGGGTTTTCAGCTAAAATGCAAGTGTCAGAATAGGTGTTTGGAAAGCTAGAATGTGTTAGATGACAGTCCATGCACCCAGAACGTGAAGACAGAAACTATTGGTTTTAGGATCCTTTTGTCTGGGTGTGAAGCTGTCAAGTAATGCTGGATGAGGCTCTATGCTTCTTTGGGAAGTAGGTTATGTTGAGAGCTTCAGGGTGGATTTTCTGCTATGTTATTGCTTGTTTAAATTTATTAGTTTCCCTACTCCAATGGACTCTCCAGACAGAGCAAATTTTAAAATATTAAAGGATAGTAAAAGCTGAGTTAGCAGCCCAGCCAGTAATGCAAAATAAAGGCTAGCGTATAGTCCTTGAATTTGTAACTCTTTCATGCATTCCTATGCAGAATGTAATTCTTCTATAGTTGCATGCACCGTTTCTAAATTTCAAAATGATATTTGAATAGCGTTCTTGATTTCAGTTTAAGTAAACTGGAAATGGCTTGAAAACTCTGTAGAATTCATTGCAAATGAATTTATGTGCAGAAAGGTATTCTGAAACATTTTTAATTTATTAGATATATAATCTACTTTTCTTTCAAGATGAAAAGGCAGCATCTTTTAAAACTGTTTAAAAACTCTAATTTGGTAAATTTGATAACTTGGCATTGTATTTTGAACCTTAGTTTAGCAATTAAATTTGCATTATTTTATCATACCAGTAGATAGCATTCAGGTTCTATTGCAAATGCACCCATAGTAAGCCAGATGATGTTATGGGATATTGTTTTGAATAATTATGCAAATTTACTAATTTTTCAAAATGAAGAAACAGTGATTAAGTTGTCGGTGCTGTATGTGCTTTATTGCTTGTAGATTACTGCAAAAATGTTTCAATTTTGGTCATTTGTACTGTTTAAGTCAATGAAATGGTCAAAAATGTGTGTCGATTTCCTTTCTTGGAAACCTGGGGTTAACTCATATTTGTGTTTATGTTAATATTTGTGTTAGAATTAATGTGATATAGGCCTATATATAAATCACATACATGGGCCACTTTTATTGTTCATTGATACCAAGATGCTACACCGGGATGGGGTAGAAAAGTAAGACAGTGCTCAGTGTGCAAGGATCTGACTTCTTAGAAAAGTAATTATCAGTATCTTGAATTACATGAGACTACAAAGAATATGTGTTGGTAGGGCTAGTAATGAAATTCACTGGGTGACGTGGTGGCAGGTTATTTTCAGCCTGTTGGTTAGGCATGTTGTAAGGTAGTGGTTATCACATAACTAGGTTGTCCTAAAGTCTGTGGGAAAGAATTGCAATATTTAGGTTGCTAAAGCCATTACTACAAGATAGGCATCTATGTCGTAAACACTTCCAACTAAATATTTTAGAGCATATTACAAATTCATACTTTTTACCTTAAATTAAGACATTTGTATTATAGGCCAGATAAAAGTCTGCATGTTGCATGAGTTCAGAATTCATAATATTAGAGTTTTTGTCCTAAAATAAGAGCCCTGGGTTTAAAAAAACAAAACAAAACGATACATTGATGCCTTTGCCTGATCAAACTAATTACCAGTAGCAAGCGGACAGAGAAATAAATACAATAAAAATATTAAGGTTCAGCTGAATTAATATTAATAACCAGTGTAATCATTAACCAATATCATAAGTAGTTTCTCAATTTTATGTGCATTACATTGAGGTAGACAGCTGATACTTTTGAGTAAATTTCCTTAGTAAAGAATGATATATATTCCTTATGAAAAGTCATTTTTGTAAATAAATCATTCAAATAGTTTCATTAAGTTAATATTCAACTTTTCCCCTTACTATCCTGATTAATTTTTTTAAAAACTCCGGTGATGATGTGCAAAGATGTAAATGATGTAAAAAGAATGATGTAATTCAAATGTGATAGAGATATATGCCATGATTTTCTACAAGTGGCTTAATGTGAGTGAATAAGTTTGTTATTAGTAATTTATGTGCATAATTTTTTACATGCTTTTTGTAAGGTTACAGAAAGGTTTTTCTTGTTTACCATTTTTCAAAAAAATATATTTACAGTCACATAAAGATGTCTTTTATTTGCTGGAGATAGAATGGTGTATTTGTCAGATTGGGGCAATCATATGACCGTGAAAACTGTTTTTCAACGTGTTTGTATTCAAGTGAATAATTTCTATTACTTCACATAATTAAGATTTATATTAAAGAGAAAAAACTGAATTAAATAACTGAAAGCATGTGATCAAGAGTATGTCAAAGACAACTAAAGAGAAAATAAATTAATGCTTGCAGGAGAAGGTGTGAATTTGGCAAAATGAAACGTCAATAGAAAACATTTATCCAAAGAAGAATATAAAAGTAATTAGTTCACTTGAACTGCATATTTTTTGGATAACTATGTCTTAAAGATTTATTATTAAAGATATTTGTGAATTTATTAATATTAGAATATTGCAAGTTCTTTTTCAGTGTTATTACTAAAATTCTCATGTATAAAAGTGATACATCTTTTGATGTAGATATTTTTTGCTGCTCAATTGGAAAATTATATACCAGTTTTCAGCTGCAATCCGATAGAAGTAAAATCCATTGAATGAATAGAGTTTATTTCTGGATTTTGTAATATAGAACAGTTCCTTAATTATGTGAAGAATAGAGGCTAGGCTGTTATAAACTTACTTTCTGCACTTTGCTTGCCTATTAGTGATGTGTATATGTATGCGTTTTGTGGTAGTCTTTCCAATCTTGCAACTTTTCATATTGTTGGATATTATTTTCATAGTTTCCTAATTGTTTTGAAAAACAATAGTAAATAACAAACTTCAATCAACTAATGGAGAATTATTGCCACATGGATACAAACAAGTACATTTACAGCATAAGAATTCTTACTAAATATTTTGGTACAGGTAGTCTTCAACTTACAACAGTTTGTTTAGTGACCAAGTTAACAACGCTATTTTAAAAAGTAACTTATGACTCTTTTTCGCACTTACAACCGTTGCAGCATCCCCATTGTCACATGTTCAAAATTCAGACGCTTGGCAACTGACTCATATTTATGACGGTTGCAGTGTCCCAGGATCATCTGAAAAACAAAGCCAATGGGAAAGCCAGATTCACTTAACAACCCTTTTGCTAACTTAATGGCTGCAGAGATTCATTTAAACAACTGCAAAAAGTTGTAAAATGGGGCAAAATTCAATTAACAACTGTCTCATTTAGCAACAGAAATTTTGGGCACAGTTGTCATAAGTCAAAGATTGCCTGTACTCTTCCTGATTCATGCAAGTTCTATTATTACTTCTTAAAGGTCACCCAAAGTTTAAATACCAGGTGGGCTAAAAAGATTTTAAAAGTTAGTAATTGATTGATAAACAGCAGAAACTCAATTTAGTTTTGATACATATTTGGCTATGGTAACCAATGTATAGGCAACAAGGATTAGTTTCCCAAAATATGTTTTCCATGTATTTGCTGTAATGGAGAATGTATGCATCAGTCAATTTGTATTTTGATTTAATTGTCAGCAGTTTAAAGTAAACTATCAATGTTGTTTTGTTTAAAACAAATTTAGGGCTCAATTGTATTAAAAATGTAAATCTACATCTTGCTATATTTATATATCTTGTTTTTCCAAATTTCTTTGTTGGTGTTACAGCTATCCCTAATGGATCTCCACTCCTTGGCTAATACTGTTCCTTAATTAAAATAAAATGTGTGTGAAAGCTAATGTTTATAGATGATCAAATTTCTTCGACCTACTGAAGGCTTTACACCGCGGGTGTCAAACTGGATTTCTTCAAGGGCTGGATCAGCATTGTAGTTCTTCTCCTTGGGCTGGGGGATCTGGTACAGGGAGCGGGGGGTGATGGGACAGATGCCTCCTGTAGCAATTTGCTGGCTAAAACAGGATACAGGGGGCCCTCCGTGCGGCCCGTTTTTGGCCAGCGGAGTGCTGCAGGAGACAGTGAAGGCCAAAAACAGACCACATGGCCACTTTTGGCTGGCAGAGGCACCGTGGCCGGTCTTTTGATATTTCCAGGCTAGCCTTGTGGGCCAGATTTAAGCACCCCATGGGCTGGATCCAGCCCGCAGGCCTTCAGTTTGATATTCCTGCTTTACAGTATCTTCTCAAGTGAATATAGCTTAATAATTTCAGTTCGTAAGAGTGTATCTTAAGTTCTTAAGACTATATCACTGCTTTCAAATGTAAACATACATATAAGGATTCTGCCTTAGATATGAAAGGTCATGAATTTGAAGGCATAGGGTTAATTGTGAAGGGTCCTTGGTGCTCTCTGAGCTTTCTTGCTTTCTTGCAGATGTTTCATTACCCTAACTAGGTAACATCATCAATGCTAGTAAGGAGTGCTCTTTGCTGTCAGTTTATATTCTGGTGACTTGCTTGTCTATGTGGGTTAATTGTTAAGGGTTAATTGTGTTGCCCCACTGCCTGCTGAGTTTACAGGTTTGTTAGATTGTCTATATAGACATTTAGATAAGAATTCAGGATCCTTCAGAAAGAAAACTATTTTGATGTATACTGAAATTCAGATTGATAAAAGCGTTAAAGCATTTAAACAGGAAGTAATAATTTGGGCATATTCTGGGAGTGATGGGACAAATTGTAATTGCTTGTTTGTGCTTTCAGGATCCCGTTTGGGACAGCTGCTGCTGCTTCTGTTGTTGAAACACTTGTGTAAAATGGGGAGTTACTTTGTTATTTTGGGGTAATAGCATTATTTGAGGCTGAGAAAGGGGCAACTCGATCAGAAGTAAAGGATTTCACTATAAGGTGTGGGACTGTTTTACTGCTAAATTATATTCAAATTATTTGCATATCTATAGTAAAATACTAAATTCAGAAAATGTTTCATGGCATGTACAGTGTTGTACTAAAGGGAGTAATGTAGCACTCTTAAGTTAATGGTTCTATCTATCTATCATCTATCATCTATCTAGCTATCTATCATCTGTCTGTCTGTCTGTCTGTCTGTCTGTCTCTCTCTCTCTCTCTCTCTCTCTCTATCTATCTATCTATCTATTATCTTACAGACAGACAGTCAGATTCTAAAACACTTTTTCTCCAGCATACAGTGTGGTGTTTCTTTGGTGAATGGTTCTTTTAAATAATATAGTATTTTATAGGACATTCTGGGCTGTCCAAAGTTGGAATGAACCATATATTATATAAAATAGTTAATCTGTCTAACCAAAATAACAATGCTATAAATCTTTAATTAATTGTTTCATGTTTTCATGTTTTTAGGCCACTGTTTTCTCACTCAAGGAGGGGATCTAGGCAGTGTAGAGTATAATCAACAAATAAAACAACATACAAAGTTAGCATCAGAATATTAAAAATAATAATTTTTTTTTTTTTAGAATTATGAGGTATAAAATTTCAAAGAAATAAAAAAAATCCAAGATGGCCATTTATCATCTTGAAGCTGTGTTTAGAATGCAGTACTGCAGGCTACTTCTGCTGATCACCAGCTGCCAGCAGTTTGGCAGATCGAATCTCACCAGGCTCAAGCCTTTTATCCTTTTGAGATTGGTAAAATGAGGACCCAGATTGTTGGGGACAATATGCTGACTCTGCAAACCACTTAGAGAGGGCTATAAAGCACTGTGAAGCAATATATAAGTCTAAGTGCTATTGCTATTGCTTAACAAAGGCTCTCAGGGTGCCAGCCAATCCCACGATTACAGAGCCAAGTTTTGACCCCTTTATGGAAGACCAGAAGAGTGGGAACCCTCCTAACCTCTGGGGGAAAGGTGGTCCATAATGAGGAGGCAGTGGCAGAGAAAGCTCTTCCAAGACCTCACCAGTCAAAATCCTTTGACTGATAGGATCTGCACCATACCTTCCTTGCACAACTGAGTGAAATACAAATATTTCATAAACACAGCTTTGCATTTTTATAAAATAATAATTTTCTCCATACGGCTTCAAATAAGATGTTATGTTTATTTTGCATATTATTGAGCAACATCAACATGGATATATGCTTTTAAAAGGTTGTTATTCTGTTGTTAAGAAATCATGGAAAATGTACAGCATCATTTGCTTTTGAAATCTTTATTATAATGTTTTTTTTAATGGGGGATGGATTGTGGAAGAAAGAGATTCTTACTGTGTGGGAAATATTAAAATGTAATACTTGTTATCAGTGTACATTTTAATACAACTAAATATCATCCTTTACTAAAAAAAAAATACCAAACTTAAAAATGAAATGTACTCTGAGGTCATTTTATTTACTGTCAGTAGCATAGAATATGAAATAACTCTACAAAATTTACATTTTTGGGGCTTATAATTTTTTGCAAGCTCCCCATTTATTACAAGATAATAATTTTTGTGTTTTTAATTGTTAGCCACTGAATGAGCGCATAAACAGCAAGTCAGATGTTTACCTATTTGAAATAATTGTCACTATGTTCAGTAAGTTTTACCCTTACTTAATCATGTCTAGGAATGCAGCCACCATTCTTTAATACATGAGAAAAGTGATATATGCACATATATATTTACCTAAAAACTTGATGTTTTCTTTTTTTTAGATATGGAGACCAAAGGCTATCGCAGTTACTCAAAAAGTCTAGATATGGAGAGGCGCTGGAGTCAAGGTTCCCAATCTATGGAGTACACTCCTAAAGGAGCAGAAGAACAGTCCGAAGAGAGTAATAATTACATGGAGATTGTAAATGTGAGCTGTGTTTCTGGCACATTTCCAAATGCCAGTTCTCAAGGAAGCAACAAAGAAAAACCTGAGCTAATTTCGTGTCTTCATCCAGATCATAGTCAGCCGGCTATTTTACCCTGTGATATAAAAACTGAGATAGACTCCAAGGAACTTTCTGCCACGGTAGCTGAATCAATGGGTTTATACATGGATTCTGTAAGAGATGCCGATTTTACCTATGATCAGCACAGTCATCAAGGAAACTTGATTTCTGCAAAGATGTATCAAAATGTTGAGCAATTAGTAAAACTCTATAAGGAGAACGGCCATCGTACCTCTCCCTTGAACACCCCAAGTAGGTCCTTGAGACCTCTAATATCAGACTGTGCAAGCTCTGTGAATGGTGGCATTGTACCATCTATCATCAAAAGTCCTAGAGTGTGCCACGAGAAGAATTCTTCTGATTGTAGTCCTCAAAGCATGACTCCTTCAGTATGCAGCCCTCCTGGAATTAGTTCTGTATCATCAACTACTTCCACTAACTTTACAAATTTCACCGTAAATAGTCCAATAAACCAGGGAACACCTTTGCCATGTTCACCTAACATTGAAAACCGAGGTTCAATGTTACATAGTCCTCCACATACTAGCAATGTAGGATCTCCTCTTTCTAGTCCTATAAGTAGCATGAAATCACCTATTTCAAGCCCTCCTAGTCATTGTAGTGTGAAATCTCCAGTTTCAAGTCCTAATAACATTACAATGAGATCTTCAGTATCTAGCCCTGCAAATATGAACTCAAGGTGCTCTATTGCCAGCCCTTCCAATGCCAACAATAGATCCACTCTTTCTAGTCCTGCAGTAAGCACTGTGGGATCTTCAATGTGTAGCCCTGTAAATGGTGCAGTGACGTTTCCAGCATCTAGTACATCAGTTGGACCTGGTGCAACTCAAGACATGGTTCCTAGTCCAGATTCAAAAGAGAATAAAGGTGCTTCTGAAATCATATTTCCTAAAATAGAGGAAATAGAAAATGCCATCCCTATCAATGAAGTAGCTAATCAGATGACTGTTGCTCAGTTTATAAAACCTGAACCAGATGGGATGTTTAGTAGCTCATGCCTTGGAGAAAATAACAAAATCAATTCTGATCCCCCATTTTCAGTATCAATAAAGCAAGAATCAGCTAAACATTCTTGTTCTGGTGCTTCTTTTAAAGGGAATCACATAGCAAATCCCTTTCCATTTATGGATGGATCATATTTTTCTTTCATGGATGATAAAGACTACTATTCTCTTTCTGGGATTTTAGGACCACCTGTTTCATCCTTTGACGGAACATGTGAAGCTAGTGTGTTTTCAAATTCTATAGGAATTAAACAGGAGCCTGAAGAGAACAACTATTATCAAGAGAGTGCTCTACCTTCCTCTGCCATTATTGGAGTCAATTCTGGCGGACAGTCATTTCACTATAGGATTGGTGCTCAAGGCAGAATAGCTTTATCACGGCCTGTTGGTAGAGAGCAGCCTTTTCAGCATATGAGCTCATTTCCTCTGGTAGAGTCCTGGAAATCACATTCTGAGTTGTCTGGCAGAAGAAGTGATGGGTATCCAGTTCTAGAATATATTCCAGATAATGTGTCAAGGTAGGTTTGCTTTATTACTGAATATCTAAAGCGGGGGAGGAGAAAACCTTTTGCTGTAAGATTGTTTTTGATGCTACTTTTTTTCAGAACTGATTATTTATATACATTGCAATATGTGTAATTAAAATACTTTTTAAAAAATTAATAATTGTTTTCATAACTGTTTAGCGGTGGTACCGCATAATATTTCCCTGACTAAATTTAAAATGAGTTGCAAAATACTTCAGCAACATTATTTCCCTGTTTTTACTGCAAGGATTGTTATTAATGTAGGCATTTTCAAATGTCTTCTGAAAATAAAAAGGTAGCAAAGATTAATAGCTTTAATTAAGGACTGTGGGACAGAACAGTTTTGCCCATTTACAACATTATGTGATTATTGTTTTCATATAAAAAATAATAAGTGTACATAGGAAACTAGAACCATAACCCAGTTTAATCAAGGCTTGCTCTTCTAAATTCTATGAAACCATTTTACAATCATAATAGTGGTATAAAGATAATTTCTTTTGTATTATACTACATGGTGACTACTAATAACTTATTTTGATGTATTTTATATTTCCAGTGACATGATAGCAAAAACCTTCCCTTTGTATTGCTCTTCCTGGCTTTTTCTTTACTCTCCAGTGGTTGGCTTTCTCTTCTATTACTGTGTTAGATTTTTTTTCCAGATTTCATTAATATATTCCTCACTGGAACCTTTATAATCCTATGTACATTAACATGTGAAGCACCAATATATGCAATTTAATGTTAAGGCATACTTAAAATGAAAAGCCACTCTGAGACAATAGAGAGAAACAGACCATGTTCAGTGTTGAAAAATACTTTTTTACTGACTATGATGCTCTTAATTGCAAAGTAGTTTCTTCACTCAGTGAGATTCTATATACCATATTTTTCGGACTATAAGAGAAACTGGTGTATAAGATGCACCAAGATTTCAAAAAGGTAAGTAAGAAAAAACGTTTTTGTCTTCCCCGGCCCCCAAGAGCACTCTGCAGGCTTCAGCAGGGCTGGGGGAAGGCAAAAACGCCCCTGTTTTTGTGAAAAACAGGCCATTTTTCTCAAAAGGGGTCATTTTTGCCTTCCCCCAGCCCTGTTGAAGACTGCAGAGTGCTTCTGGGGGCTGAGAGAAAGCAAAAACGCCTCTGTTTTTTTAGAAAAACAGCCCGTTTTTCACAAAAATGGAATGCGGGGGCAGGGCTTCGGGAGGCCAAAAATGGCTATATTTGGTGTATAAGGCACACCAACATTTCCACGCTCTTTTGGGGGGTGATGTGCATCTTATACTCTGAAAAATATGGTACTTCATGAAGTTTATGGATAGTTTTATGAGAGAATGTTCTAAAGTAGAAAAGAAAAAGAATAAATTATAGGTAGTCCTCAAGGTATGACCAGTTGAGTCCAGAATTTATGTTGTTAACTGACACATTTACTAAGCGAGTTTCGCCCCTTTTTACGACTTTTCTTACCACAGTTGTTAAGTGAATAATTGCAGTTGATAATTTAGTAACACAGTTCTTAAGTGAATCTGACTTCCCCTTTGACTTTGCTTGTCAGAAGGATCACAGGGCCTTGGGTCACTGCAGCAGTCATAAATATGAAACAGTTTCCAAGCATCTGACTTTTCATCACATGATCATGGGGATGCTGCAAAGGCCAAAACTGAAAAACAGTCATAAGTCACATTTTTCAGTGCTATTGTAACTTTGAACCGTAACTAAACGAACTTGAAGTCAACTTTGAATCGCCACTAAACGAACTTGTACACCTTTTCATAGTGGTAATTTCTACCTGAATCTCCTGCCTTCCAAATCAACTACTTATTAACAGAAATGGCACAATTTCTACTACTTTATTTTACACAATGTATAATTGGAGTATTACAGATAACTAATTATAGCTTTATTTCCATTACTCTTAATCAGCACTATTTTATAATCCTAGTTTTGGATTTCAGCTTTTTATTTTTTACTGTTGCATCCATTCTTTTTACTTCTTCTCTACTTCTTAGTTGAAGAATGCTCATTTTTTGAAATCTAATTTTTTAAATTTAAAAAATATCTGTTTTTGCCTTCAGTGTGTGTGTGTGTGAGAGAGAGGGAGGGAGGGAGGGAGAGAGAGAGAGGGAGAGAGAGGGAGAGAGAGGGAATGCATTCAGAATTGAAGAGAATCTTTTGATATCGTCTCCGAATACCTATTTTTGCAATTATTTCACCTTATTAAAGCTCTTGGAATCCTATTCTTATATTTCTGTCTCTATTAATGTTTTAACACTTTGAAAAAATTTTAAAACCAAAGATTTTATAAAGTTCTTTCTTCTTCATGAGCTCTACTATAATATGTGCTTTTCATATTTTATTATACATATTAATATTTTTTCACTTATCTATTTATAATGAAAAAATATACTAGTGGATCACTTTACTATTAAATTGTATTATACTGGTATAATAGATCTTTCACATCTTTTATAACTTAAACAGAAAAACCTAAACATCAGCACTTCATGTGACAAATGTAGTTTTATTCTTAGTTTTATTTTATCTATCTCTTCATAGGATGCATGAAGCATATATTACTTCTTCTTTGAGGAAGACATTCTTATTAATGCAGTCATTGGGTTTCTATATCCATTTAACAAATTTCTTCTGACTTATTCTATTAAATTGTTTCTCAGAACATTTGAATTAATGTCTGAATGGTATTATAGTTAGGATCTCGGCATTTACTTTTATACTAGTATTACTTTTATGTAGCAGAGTAAAATGAACTTTTTAAATATTCTATACTTCAATATCACAAGATTGAAAATTTTGTCCAAAATGTATCTGATTATTTTTGTTGTTTGTGGTAGCTTCCAATTGGATTGTGCAGTCCTTTTCGCTACAATATACAGGTACTTAGTGATTGTCTCATTTAGTGAAGTGTTCAAAATTATGAGTGTGATGAAGAAATTACTTTACAACCAATCCTCACATTCATTACTTTCACAAGTCTGTAAAGCAAAGGAAAGCTGAAGTAAGATTATAAGTAGAGTTGCCGTTTCTTGTAGTGACCGCTTTGCTTGATAACTAAATTAAAGGTATCAGTTGTGGTCACTAAGTGAGGATGATATGTATGTTGATACATTAATGATGTTATTATTTTGGATTTAACTTTGTTATGGTTATATTTTAGCATTGTGCCTGAACATATATTAAGTTGTAGGAACAAGATCCCAGTTTAACTTTCATAAAATAACAGCAAACTTCAGTGGTTAAAAATATGATGGACTTCTTTTTATTATATGTGTTTCAGTAGAAGCTGAATTGCCATGTGATTTTTATTTGGATTGAGGTTGCATCTTGTACCATAAGATCTCCCGACTTTGTCATTCTGTGATTCTATATCTATATAAATTAATTAACTTCTGTAATACTCATGGTAACATTTAAGTACATGGAGATGATATAGTATGGTAGGTTGAATTTGCTTTAGTTCCTTGATTTGAAGGATTATTTAGTGATTGATCAAATGTTTTGGCTGTGGTAATTATATTGAGCTTGCTAGTACTTTCTGATGAGATGAGTCCTGAAATAAGCATGCAAAATATTTTTGCTAGCAATAAATAAATAAATATGTATATGCTTTTCCGAATGAAATGTACTAAAATAATTAATGTATTATGTTAACTGGAAAGCTAAAATTAGATACATAAAAAGATCAAGCTATTTTTTTTTTACCATCTTTGTATTATTCATCCTGGAAACAAGGACCTGGAATATGTCCTTAAAGGTATCAGTTCTTGAATGCAAAACCCCAAAGGATCACTAGATGGCAGAACAGGGACACTGAAAATGATCTGTTGTCATGCAGTGGTTGTCTAGATTTTGGCAGCCAAATATCTGCCAAATATTTGGCAGTCCTCTATGACCATACTAATTTCTCTGAATTTAGGGCATCTAATCTGACAAGGTGATCTTCTGGGAAAAGACTGAACCAGAAAAATTTCCAATACCTTTGGATATTTTAGTGAGAAAAGCTATTATGCTACACTGTGTTTTACATGATGCCTAACTATCTTATAACTTTTCTCCAATATAATTAAGTGATAAAAATTCTACAACATACGTCTGAATTTAGTAAATAAAAAATAAAGGCACCCTAATATTAACACCAAAAGAGTTGTGATTACTTACATCAGTCAAACTCGTATCATCATAGCGGCATAACCTGAACTAACCTGAACGTATCAGAAGCTTTTTCTCCTTTGCTAAACCAGGCATGGGTGTGGTCAGCATGTAATGCATCTGGCCCGTGGGCCGTGAATTTGACAGTCCTGATTTACATAAAATAATCCAGGTTTAATTCTGAAACAAAATAGTTGTCTGGAGCAATCTAATTTTTATAAGCATTAAAATTGCATCGAAAGGAAATGAAAATTTGCATTGTAAAATGGAAAATATCCCATAGAAAAATTAAGCAATAAAAATTTATTTCTCATTATTAACCAGGTCTCCTTGGGTTGGACAGAAGGATATGCAAACCTGGATTACTACTTCCTATAGTTCAGTGGTTCTCAACCTTCCCAATGCTGCAACCCTTTAATACAGTGTTGTGGTGACCCCCAACCATAAAATTGGTGTCTCGGTTTCTAAGACCATCGAAAATATGTGTTTTCCGATAGTCTTAGGCAACCCCTGTGAAAGGGTCGTTCGACTCCCAAAGGGGTCCCGATCCACAGGTTGAGAACCACTGCTATAATTATTTGATAATTAGTTATATCATAGCTTCAAAACCTAAGGGACTGGTTTGGACAAAACTCAGCAGCACTTTTTCATACAGCTGTTGACAAAAATTGGATTGCTAACGATTGCTAACATTGATCGCCAATGTCCGATGATGGATATGGTACAACAAGAAGAAGAATAGTTATTTGAGCTGAAATAATGGTTTTTGATCTTAGGCATGAAATTGTTAGAAATTATATTTTTAAACACTTATCTTTAGCC